CAGTAAATAAAAAAATCAGCCGGCCGTGGTAGCGCATGCCTGTAATTCCGGCTACTTGGAAGTCTGAGGCGGAAGGATCGCCGGAGCCCAACAGGCTGAGGCTACTGTGACTGGGAGCGGCCACTGCACTCCAGTCTGGGTGACAGTGAGACTCCAACTCAAAAAATAAAAAAATAAAAATAAAAATAAAAAATTGACCATAAATGTAAGGATTTACTTTTGCACTTTTAATTCTTTTTTTTTTCACTTTTAATTCTGTTTCATTTATATGTGTATTCTTATGCCACTACCACACTATCTTGGTTACTGTAGCTTTGTAGTAAGTTTTTAAATTGGTTAATCTTTTACCTATACTAATTCCTACTGAACTCCCACTGGAAATAGGAGTGCTGTGACCATGCTGATGCCATAACCAATTAAGTAGCTCCTACTATAGTATTTGAATAATTGTTATAGCATGTCATAGCTTACAAGGAACCGTCGTGTCTATGGTGTCTTTTGATTTTCACTATAATATTACGAAGAGTACAAGGCACAGTACCCGGGAGAATGTAGAGGCTTATATAAGTCGAGTAATTTCCAGAAAGTGATTCACAGCCTTGGTTCTCAGTGATGGTCTTGTCACTTTAAAAAATGGCAGGTGAGCTGGGCTCGGTGGCTCAGCCTGTAATCCCGCGCCTTTGGGAGACTGAGGTGAGTGGATTGCCTGAGCCCGCGGGTTCGAGACCCGCCTGGGCAGCGAGACCTCATCTCTACAATAAATAAAAAAAAATCAGCCGGGCGTGGTAGCACATGCTTATAATTCCGGCTACTCAGAAGGCTGAGGTGGAAGGATCGCCGGAGCCCAGCACGTCGAGGCTGTGGTGACCGGGAGCAGCCACTGCACTCCAGTCTGGGCGACCGAGTAAGACTCCAACTCAAAAAAAAAAAAAAATGGCAGGTGATAGCCGGGCGCAGTGACTCAAGCCTGTAATCCCAGCACTTTGGGAGGCTGAGGTGAGAGGAATGCCTGAGTCCAGGTGTTCGAGATCGGCCTGGGCAACTTGGTGAGACCTCATCTCTACAATCAATCAAAAAATTAAATTAGCTGGGCGTGGTGGTATGCACCTATACTTCTAGCTCCTTGGAAGGCTGGAATGGAAGGATCACCTGAGCCCAGCAGGTCGAGGCTGCGGTGGCTGTGAGCATGCCACTGCACTCCAACCTGTCCAGAGTGAGATTCTGACTCAAGAAAAAAAAATGGCAGGTTGTGCCGGTCATGTTGGTGAGTTTTTCTTAAACAGAAGTACTATACTTGTTTTGTAAGTATTAGTACAAAACAAGTTCTAGACTTGTTTTATGAGTATGAAGATATTTTTAAGTGGTGTGTCTCAAGCTTTTTGTATTTAAGAATCATCTGGAAACTAGTTGAAAACATTCCTGGACCACAACCCTGGAGATTCTGATCAGTATGTCTGGAGGAAGGCCTGAGAATTGGCATTTCTAACAAACTCCCAGATGACACTCCTGCTGTTGGTTCATAGTACATACTTTGAGTAGCATTGTCTTACTGAGTTTGCTTCTTTGCTTCATGGAGTTTCTTTTTGTTTTTGTTTGTTTGTTTTGAGTAGGAGTTTCACTGTGTCATCCACGCTGGAGTGCAGTGGCACACTCCTAGCCACCATAGCCTCGACGTGCTGGTCTCAGGCAGTCCTTCCACCTCAGCCTTCCAGGTAGCTGGAACCATAGGCGTGCGCCACCACACCAGCTAATTTTTTTATTTATTGTAGAGATGAGATCTTGCTAAGTTGCCCAGGCTGATCTCAAACCCCCAAACTCAGGCAATCCTCTTGCCTCCACTTACCAAAGTGCTGGGATCACAGGCATGAGCCACCATGCCTGACCACTTCATGGAGTTAATTTAGATTTGTCAACTCTCCTTTCACCTTCAGAATCTGCTTAAAATGCCCAGGAAGCAATTTTCCTGAAATAGTATACTTTTTAAATGGCTTCTCGGCTGGGCTTGGTGGCTCAACCTGTAATCCCAGAGCTTTGGAAGGCCAAGGCGCATGGATTACCTGAGCCCGCGGGTTTGAGACCCGCCTGGGCAACTTGGCGAGACCTCGTCTCTACAATAATCAAAAATTAGCTGGGCATGGTAGCGCATGCCTGTAGTTTCAGCTACTTGGAAGGCTGAGGCGGAAGGATCGCCAGAGCCCAGCAGGTTGAGGCTGCGGTGGCCAGGAGCATGCCACTGCACTCCAGTCTGGGCGACAGAGTGAGACTCCAACTCAAAAAAAAAAAAAAAATCTTCTATTATATTTTCATTTGAATACTTATCACTTAATGGCCAGTCTATTCGATAGTTTTAGTTGTTTTACTTTTTTAAAAAAAAACTTCATAATGTTTATTTAGCATTTTTAACAAGATAGGAATTGTTTTTCCTTGTTTTTTTTAAAGGGCTACATCTCAAATTAACCTGCATGACTACACTTGTGTTATAATTCAAAAGGAGCAGTTGAACTACTACATACAATCTTTTCATGAAACGCAAGTTAGCACCACTGTCCTGCCAATGTCTTAAACATTGCAATTATTGTAAAACCTTCCCTGTGCCTTCAGCATCTCCAATTTGTGAACAAATCTCTATTTATCCCTGTTGTGTTCTTCCACATGCTTGTTTTGCAGTATAATAACTCTTGACAGTTGTAAATTTTTCCACATGCTTCATTTTGTAGAGATAAACTGTGTATGCAGTACACGTCCCTAAGCTTTAAAGACTTTTGAAATAAACAATTCCAGCTGAGTGCGGTGGCTCATGTCTGTAATCCCAGCACTTTAGGAGGCTGAGGTAGGAGGATTGCTTGAGCCCAGGAGTTTGAGACCAACCTAGGCAGCATGGCAAGACCTAATCTCCATAAAAAATTAGCCAGGTGTGGTGGTGCGTGCCCGTTGTTCCAGCTACTTGGAAAGCTGAGGCAGAAGGATCACCTGAACCCAGCAGTTTGAGGCTGCGGTGGCTGGGAGCATGCCACTGCACTCCAGCCTGGGCGATGGAGTGAGACTCCAACTCAAAAAAAGAAAAAATTGCTTCTCAAGTGATTTTAAAGATTGCAGTTCATTCATGCAATCATTTTTTTAAAAACCCTTCATTGACTATTCTGTACCACATGCAGATAATATAAAAATGAGTAAAAGAACTGTCCTTGAAAAAATTTTCTGGGTGATGTGGTTGGAAGACCCCTCCTGCATTGGAATTACAAAACTTGGAATTATAGCAATGAAGAGAAGATATTTGAAACACCTTACTGTAGTTTGAATGTGTTCCCCAAAGTTCATGTGTTGGAAACGTAAGCTCCAATACAACAGTGTTGAGGGGTGGAATCTTCAAGAGGTGATTAGGCCACAAGGGCAGCCCTCATGAATGGATTAGTGCCATTATCTCGAGAACTGGTTTGTTATTTTGGGAGCAGATTCCTTACTAAAGGATGAGGTGGGTCCCCTTCCCTCCCTCTCTTGCCTATGTGATGTTTTCCACCATGTTATGAGAAAGCAAGAAGGCCCTCGTTAGATGCTGGCTTCTTAGTCTTGGACTTCCTATTTTCCATATAATGAGCTAATAAATTTCTGTTCATTATAATTACCCAGTTTATATATTCTGTTGTAGCAGCAAAAAACAGACAGAGACATACCTGGTACCCTATTGTTAACATTTCTTTTCTGCTATCACCTTCTCTTCCTTTTGCTATTTTTAAAGCTGGCTTTAACTGTCATATGAGTTTACAGTTACGACTGCAATTAGCCTAGAAATAAAGGGTTTTTTGTTTTTAATCACTCTAAGCATTTGTGACCAGTATAAATAGCAGAATCTCAACTATATGACACTGTCCAGAGCCCTATAGAATGGACCTTATGGACTTATTTGAGGAAGGTGGATATACATTGGTGTTAGGCAGGCACAGATATTAAAGTTATGTACATAGAAAGGGGACTATAAATACCAAATGATAAGCATTATTTGTCAAACAAAGGTTTCTAATTAGAGGTGGTCTAGTGAGGAAATCTAAAATGGCAATTATATTTTCTCTGGATAAAGATTAGAGAATGAGTCTGGTGTGGTGGCTCACATCTGTAATTCTAGCACTTTGGGAGGCCAAGGCAGAAGGATTGCTTGAGCTCAGGAGTTCAAGACCAACCTAGGCAACATAGTAAGACCTCATCTCTATAAAACATTTAAAAATTAGCCAGATGTGGTGGCACACACCGTAGTCCCAACTATCAGGAGGCTGAGGCAGAAGGATCACCTAAGCCCAGGAGGTTGAGGCTGTAGTGAGTCATGATCATTCTGCTGTACTCCAACATGGGTGTCTGAGACCCCTACCAAAAAAAAAAAAAAAAGCATTTGTGTGTATATCTTCATTCCTACATGGGTCTCCTAATGGATTGACAAGCAGTGGCAGTTGGACCCAAAAGCAGACTGCATCATCAATATGTGTGTATGTGTGTATATATGTATGTGTACGTGTGTGTGTGTGTGTGTGTGTGTGTGTGTGTATGTGTGTATGTGAAGAGACAGGACAAACACTGGCCCTATGAAGTGCTTGGAGGCACTGTGATACCTGGGTTATTTTTCTGTCATATTCCTTATCCCAGGAAAAGAACAGACAACATTCACTTTATTTATTTATTTGAGTAAGGGTCTCACTCTGTTGCCCCCTGTAGTACAGTGGCACAATCACAGTTCACTGCAACCTTGACCTCCTGGGCTCAGGCAATCCTTCCACATCAGCCTCCCAAGTAGCTGGGACTACAGGTGCAAGCCACCATGCCTGGCATATTTTTTTATTTTGGTAGAAATGTGGTATCGCCATGTTGCCCAGGTTGGTCTTGAACTCCTGAGCCCAAGTTGTCCTTTTGCCTTGGCTTCTCAAAGTGCTGGGATTACAGGCATGAGCCACTGTGCCCAGCCAGCAGACCCCATTCTTAACACTATGCTTCAAGCCTCTCTCTTTCCCTTCTAGTGACTGTCACATAGCATGGGTCTCTGCCCAGGCTCGTAATGAAACCATAGCAAGGCGGCTGTGGGACGTCAGTTGTGACCTACTGGGCCTCCCAATGGATTGACAAGCAGTGGCAGCTGGACCAAAAGAAGACTGCAGCAGACTACACAGTACTTCCTGCCAAATTGATTCTCCTTCAAGTATTCCAAAACCTTGAATACAAACAGTAAAACTTTCCAACCTTGCCTGCTTGGTGTACAGTTAAAACCCAGTCAACTGCCAGATTCATCCTAATACTCATCATTTGTCCAGATTTACTTTGCTCCTGTTAACTACAGAGCTACTAGAGACATATATCGTCATAGGATTAAGAGACCCTCATGTGACCTGCACAGCTCATGTTTTCCTTCTGAAACTGCTGCTGCCTAGGAGAATCTAAGCTGTGGCAGGGATGATTATGGGAATTTGGACTCTGTTTCTGCCCTCTTTGTTCACAATGTAGTTCCTCTCAACCCACCAGTCTTCATTTCAGGAGGGCCACACTTGCTAAACTCCATGAATCCCAATGGCTTCCCTCAAGAGCAGGACTTGTCCTTCACCTCCTGAGTTGTCATGCACATCTGGATTCTTTTAGGAAATTGTTAACCAAATCTGGATTATGGTATGGCCTTATTTGTGACACCCTGAAGCCACTGCTGTTAAGATACTTTCCTGTGTCGCAGTCACAAAAGAGCTTCCTTTTCTAAGAAGTTTGTAGGATTTGGGAGGTGGCAGAAAAGTGGGGGAAAGGCAGAAATAAAAATCAAGTTTAAGCTGTCATTTTCCTGCTGTTTCTCAGATCAGGAAGTAGGTAATGAAAGGAGTACTATGAGAAGATGGCCACTTGACCACTTACTGACTCAAGACCCATGGAGGCCTCCTTCTTTGTGCCTGCCTTTTCTTAGAAAACCAGAAGGAAAAAGGAGAGGCTTTTTGGTCATTTTCACAGGCATTCTATCTTTGCGTGTCTTGTGTATTTATGTAGTTGGGAGTATTTTCACAGAATTCAAAACAGCCACAAAGGAACAGTGGCTGGACCCCAATGCAGGTAAATAATCAGAGGTGGCACAGACCAGTGTCATGAGATCCCGTCTTGTGATACCAGTCAATAGAGCTGCTAAGGGACGTGGATTCTGTATATGCTGCTAACCCATCAAGAAGCACATGGGTAGCAGGGAAGACATCCAAAGGAGAAAAAGGAAGAATCCTGCCTGGGAGCTAGATAATGCGCGAAATGAAGGTACTAGTTAAGACTTGAAAGAACAGCAGAAGACAGTAATATACAGCTGTAGAAGAATTGAGGGTGAGCAGCCAAGACTTATGAGGCCCTGTCTTAACAAAAACCAGTTGATCTGTGTGTGTGGCAGAAAAAAATACAAAACAAGAATAAAACCAAAAAACCCAATTATTTACTCAGAAAAATTATCTAAAGGACTGATATTGGCAATTACAGTCAACAGTTTTTCAGGGCATTTCCTTACATTGTCTTGGTAAGATTAAACCGCCTATTTGATTTGGAGAACTTTTATCAGAAGTAATGCTGCCAAAGGAAGCCTGAGGAATTGGTTATGTTCCCATCACTTGTTTGGAGTATGCTATTCTCACAGCTTGTGATTTCTTGGACTGATGATTATATTTTAACTTTGGTGGGCAAAAGAGTTATAGGACCACAGTCTTTACTTCTCGTATTTGTAAATTAATCTTTTGTCAAACTTGTTTTGGCCATTAAACTGTATATTTAGAAATGGTCATTTTATGGAAAACTTGGACAGCTTTTGGTTAATAGTGCAGCAGAATAGATGAATTAATGTTTTACTTAATTTATATTGAACTGTCAATGACAAATTTTTTTCAATTTATTATGTTTTCATTTACCAGAATAAAAACTAAGAATTAAAAATTTATAACCAAAAGAAAAAAACACTTCATTATTATGGCTAATGCAGGTATTTCTCATTCTAAATGATAATTTGTCACAGAGTCTAGCCAATTCAATCTCAGTTCACATGCCATTAAATGTAGGTGTGTGATATTTTGATCATTCACCCATTGCTTCTCTTGACACTGTTCCAAAGATCACTTTTTCCACATTTCTTTATCCTGCCAGGATATGTTATCTTTCCTTTTTGTACCTGCCCGTTATTTCTGTTCTGTATCAGGTTCCATGGCATTGAATTGCAGCACTTACCACAGTACACTGCCACTAACCTCAGACTTTGTCATCACTGTTTGGTCCATGTGTATTTTTGTTTGTTTGTTTGAGTTGGAGTCTCACTCTGTCACCCAGACTGGAGTGCAGTGGCCGCTCCCGGTCACTGCAGCCTCGACCTGCTGGGCTCCGGCGATTCTTCCGCCTCAGCCTTCCAAGTAGCTGGAACTACAGGTGAGCGCTACCACACCCGGCTAATTTTTTGATTTATTGTAGAGATGAGGTCTCGCCAAGTTGTCCACGCAGGTCTCGAACCCGTGACCTCAGGCAATCCACTCACCTCAGCCTCCCAAAGCATGGGATTACAGGCTGAGTCACCGAGCCCAGCTTGGTCCATGTGTATTAAGAGCTCAACCAAAATGTGTTGCATCAGTGGTCAGTGAACTCGATCTAATAAAAGTGAGGGCCCAGGAGATGTAAATCACCAAAGCATTTATCTCTGAATATTCATATACCTTTTAATAAGCGTGGGCAGTTTCAATATTGAGCTCCCAAGCAAACATTTGATGACAAGCTCCCCGGGCAAACCATGAAATCAGTGGAAATAGAGATTTATGCCCAATGGGGTGCAGGAGAGGACTTTATAATCATTAACACGTTCTATTTAGTGGCAGATGAGATCTGATGAAGTTGGGCCCGCCTTCCCCACCAGATTATAAATTACCTAAGAGCAAAGTAAAAGCTTTTATTCACCAGCATGCGCCCAGATCCCTGTACAATGCCTGCGCTTAAACACCTGCTGTGAACAAATGCACGAGGCAGTCTAGTGCGCGGGGCTTATCCGACCGCTAGAGGCTGAGTGCCTATTTGGGGGTCATAATGCCGGGATTGCACCTCGGACGTCGTGGGGATCCCCTTCACCCTCCAGGACTGAACGCTCCCAGTAAGGACACCAAATGAGGAAGTCAGGGTGGCGAAGCAAGATGCGAGGACAATGAAGAAGACGTCCAGGTACACAGAACCACCAACCGCAGCACTGCGGGTCCACTTCTAGCGGCCGCAGCGCAAGGTAACCTCTTGGCGGGGCAGCACGTGACCCCCACGGTGAGTGCGTTCTTGCCGAACTACATCCCCCGGCATGCACTGCGGCGCCCGCCCCCTGCTGGCCGGCAGGGCCCTAGACGGGGGTGGCAGATGCCTGTCGTGGTGGTCCCCCAACCTCTTCTGCCCAGGCGCTCTTCCAGCCCCGGGCCGGGGATTTCCAGGGTTTAGGGTCGGCCGCTCGCTCCGGCGAGGCACTGCTCCCCCTAGAGCCGTAAGGTAGCGCGGCCCTTCAGCCTTCCCGACAGGCGTTCTCGCCGGACGCCCCAACAGTGATAGGCCGGGAGGGGCGGGCGTTCAGGCGTGAGAGGACCCACTGCAGCCCGGAAGCGCTTCTTCCTGGGCGGCGGCGGCGGCGGCGGCGGCGGCTGCGCGGCGGTCGCCGTGATGGCTGTGGGTCTGGGTGGCTGAGCGCCGGGCTAGAAACCGGCCCGGCGCCCGGACTTTGGCGGCCGCTGCTGTATCGCGGCCCGCGCCATGGCCACCTCCGCCGCCTCCTCAGAGCACTTTGAGAAGCTGCACGAGATCTTCCGCGGCCTCCATGAAGACTTGCAAGGGGTGCCCGAGCGGCTGCTGGGGACGGCAGGGACCGGTGAGGCGGCGGTGGGCCGAGCCTGGGAGCCCCCAGTTCCTCCTGGCCCGCGCCCTCTTCCCTTCGCTCTCATCCTCAGACACGCCCCCGAGGGCCGGCTGCGGCCGAGCCCCCGGCCTTCCCCTGCCGCCACTTGGAGTGCGCGGGGGACGTGCTCGGGGAGGGACGGCGGGTGTCGTCTCCCCGAGACCCTTCCGTGGCCCTCACCATTTCCTTGTCGCTTTTTTCATCGTGGCGGGAAGAGCATAGGGGCTCTTAAGCCTCCAGCCCGTAATTGCAGCTCTGTTTTTTTTTCTGCGCACTTAAACGCGTTGTTCTCAGGAGAGGACCGTAGTTTTCACCAGACTGACAAAGGAGTCGTAGCGTAAAAAGGGTTAAGAAACCGAAAGAACCATCACTTTTGGGTGTTGGTAAATACCAGTTATGGGGGGCGGGGCTGGTCTTTAAAACCAGGACTGTGGCATTTCGATGGGATCTTCTTCTGAATTTTCTTGCTGCTTAGACTGTGTGCCTGCAGTCTCTGAATGGAGGAGCTAGAGTTTTCCAGCCCTATATCCATAGGAAAACCTGCCATAGTGGTTAGCCTCTGGACAGAACTTGATGGCGAGTAGGAGACTTTGTTTTATTGTTTTTACTTAAGGGTCAGAGATGAATGTTTGCTCTATGAATTAGCCAAGGTCATATGAATTATGTTTATTGAGAGGCTACTATGGGCCAGGCACATATGTGCTGGTTAATATTGCAAAGTATAGTGAAAAATACACAGATCCCCATTCTAGTGGGTGAGTGATAAACAATATGTAACTGTTAAGATGCAGTGTTAAGGAATACAGGAAAATAAATCAGGGTAAAGGACTAGGGTGGGGAGCTTCCATTTTAAATAGGGTGACCGTGAGGTCACTCTGAGGTGGTGGCATTTGGGCAGAGACTTGAGCGAGGGAGTAAACCAGAAATCTGGAAGAAGTGTCAGGAGGCAGGAACGGCCCTGCAAAGTCTGAAGCAGAAATGAGCTGGGTGTGTCCAAGGAAGAGTGGGAAGGGCGGGATGTTTGGGATGGAGTGAGCAAAGGAGAGAGGAAGGCAGGACTGGGTCTTGTAGACCATGCTGAAAGATTTCCCTCTTAAATATGATGGGCTGCAGTTAAAAGTTATTGAAGAGATTTTATTTATGTGGTTGAAAAATAATAGACTGCATTTCTAGCCTGCTGCTGAATTATTTTTTGCAATGCTTGTTTCTGTAAGGCTAAATAATGCAAAAGAGCACTCTGTTTTGAAAAATAGAAAACTGGGCTGGGCGCAATGGCTCATGCCTGTAATCCCAGCACTTTGGGGAGTTGAAGCTGGAGGATTGCTTGAGGCCGAGTTCAAGACCAACCTGAACAACATAGCTAGACCCTATCTTTACACAAAAATTAAAAATTAGATGAGTGTGGTGGTGTGTGCTTCTACTCGCAGCTACTCGAGGGGCCCAGGTGGAAGGATTGCTTGAGCCCAGGAGGTCAAGGCTGTAGTGAGTTATGATCACACCACTGCACTCCAGCCTGGGTGACAGAGTGAGATTCTGTCTCTTAAGAAAACTGGATTAGTTATTGTGTCTTGAATGTCACCTCCAAAACTCATTTTGAAATTTAATTGTCATTGTGACAATATTGAGAGGTGGGACCATTAAGAGGTGATGAGACAATGAGGGCTCTGCTCTCATGAATGGATTAATGTGGTCATCTTGGGAGTGGGTTCATTATGGAGAAAGTGGTTCATTATAAAAGGGAGTATAAAGTATGCATATAACCCCAGGATTATAATATGAGTTGCAACAACTTTATCTCCTGTTCACTACCTCATTCATACTGCTCAGTAAATATTTGTTGAGAAAATTGATTTTAATTAAACACACAGGGCTTCATCTCAGAATCTCTTTTTCTAGTTCAGAAACGACTTAATAAACCTGTCAGAGCTTTAACTCCCATTGTGAATTAGTAGGCCCTGTGTAATGTACATAGTATAGCTCTTGCCTGTAGCTTATGCTCTGTAACTAATTCAGTCCTTTTTCAGTAAACATACAGTGAGAATTATTACATATCAGCCACTTTCCTGGGCCCTGAGGACTTTTCTGAGAGTTCTTATCTTAAAAGGAAGCAAATTTACAATAAAGTGTGTGAGGAATCCTAAAATAAAGTTATCTGAAACCATAAAAAGGCTAACTTGGGTATGGCGGGGAGAGGGAAGCTTCACAAAAAGAACTTCATATGAAATATGGTGGGTTGACTGGGAGTTGCCATACAGGTGGACGGGAAGAGGCAACCCAGGAATAAGAAGTTGAACACTCCCAACTGAGGAGCTTAGGGTATGTGTGGGAAAGCAGGCAGAGGTGAGACAAAGCTAGACAGGAGGGAAACTGAATGTCACATTAAGACATTTGAGGCCAGGTACAGTGTCTCACGCTTATAATCCCAGCACTTTGGGAGGCCGAGGTGAGAGGATTGCCTGAGCCCATGGGTTCAAGACCAGCCTAGGCAACTTGGCAAGACCCCTTCTCTACAATAAGTCAAAAAATTAGCCGGGCGTGGTGGCACTTGCCTGTAGTTCTCGCTACTTGGAAGGCTGAGGCGGAAGGATCGCCTGAACCCAGCAGGTCGAGGGTGCGGTGGCTGTGAGCCATGCCACTGCACTCCAGTCTGGGCAACAAAAAAGACATTTAGACTCAGTATAGAGTGTCAGTAAAGGAGTAAAGCCCTTAGAATACTGCCTGATAGCAGTAAGAGAGCCAGTGGCCATTGTTATTAATATAAGTGAAGTTTGAAGAGCTCCAGTTTGAAAGCCACTGAACTAGAATATAAGCCTAATATGTCTGTTTTGTGTTTTGTTTATCATGTATTCTAAGCATTGTAGAGCAGTGCCTAGCACATGCTAGGTTCTCCATGAATGTTTGTTGAATGATAGAAAGTATAAATAATGTGCATTGTTGGAAAGAAAATATTAATAATATATGACTCTGATTTATTTATTTCTATTCTGTGTTTTTCACATTTTTGTTACTTTTTATTTTTTAAGATGTGGAGTACAATTCAGGATTAGGTATACAAGTAAACATCATACAGGTAAAGTTTGGACCTCTCTTTGGTGCCCACTTTGCCTGGTTTGAGATCAGGTACCCTTATTGATGTTATGTGGTTCACCCCCTCCCCACCCACAGTATCCCGCTACTGCCAATTCCTTTCTTATAGTATGATGGTAAATGTTCAGGGTCCACTTATGAGTGAATTTTCATTACTTTTAAAATGGCTATATATACCTGTTAGTACAACAAAAACAAAGCCTGTGTTTATTTCCCCAGAGTATAGTCTACATTCAGTTTCTGCCTTTGAAGACTAGCAGATACAGTATGTCCTAATTTAGGAAGTTTTTGTAGCAGTGACTGCCCATTACCATGTACAACTATTATTAACCCATTTAATATAACATTAAGCACCTACAGTCATACTTTCTAGTCTTAGTTTTGCAACATCTGAAGAGGTCACTCCAGATACCTGAGAGTGCTATAATTTCTTGATCTAGTTGATATTTTTTTTTTGAGTTGGAGTCTCACTCAGTCGCCCAGACTGGAGTGCAGTGGCCGGGAGCGGCCACTGCAGCCTCGACCTGCTGGGCTCCGGCGATCCTTCCACCTCAGCCTTCCAAGTAGCCGGAATTACAGGCACGTGCTACCACATCCAGCTGATTTTTTTATTTATTGTAGAGATGAGGTCTTGCCAAGTTGCCCAGGTGGGTCTCGAACCCGTGGGCTCAGGCAATCCACTCATCTCAGCCTCCCAAAGTGCGGGATTACAGGCTGAGCCACCCAACCCGGCTTAGTTGATATGTTAAGTGCCTATAGCCATGATTTCTAGTTTTGGTTTTACAATATCTGAAGACATCTTTCCATATGTTTTAATGAGTATGGTAAAATTATTGAAAGTTTTCCATACACTTTTATTTAAATTTCAGCATCTATACATGAGACCTTATTATTTTGGGAGCTAGAAAAAAATAATTACCATGGAGGGCCACATTCAGCAGGTAGGTAAACACCAGTTACAAACTGGTGTTTTTAATTATTTTTAATTTTAATTATTTCAACTCTTCATAATTTTTGGTGAACTTGGTTTTTGCTCTTAGACCTTCCTACCTAAGGATTAACTTTCGGTCATTGGTAGTTCCTATTTGTTGAAACCTTACTGTGCTGGGTGCTTGTTATGTGTATAATCTCTTTTAATCCTTTCAGACAACTCTGAGGTTAGCACTCTTATAGTCCCTATTTGCAGATGAGGAAACGAGTTGAGAGGGATTTGGTACTTTTAAATTTAATGCAGTGTGAGATCAAGTCTATACATAGGAGGTGTAGGTCATAGAAATGCCACAGTGAGGCAGCAGAAGCAACCTAACCAAATATTTTTGAGCTCCTGGTGAAATTCAAGTTATTTCTACAATTCCAGTGGGCCAAGAATAGTCATTCTTGGGCTGGTAATTCAACCCCCCTTATGGAAGAGAGGTTGTGCCCCTCTCTCCTTCAAACATGAAGGCAGGTTTTCTCCAGCTCTGTTTTCCAGAGCAGGCTGATTGCTTTATATTCCATGTCCAGGAGATGGTGCTACCGTCCACCCAGCTTACCAGAGGAGATAAATCCATCACAGAATCCCTCACACGGGACTGGTTTGGGCAGCCTTGTGAGGAGGAGATAGTACAGTTTGGAGTGGCTTATTCTTTTTTTTTTTTTTTTTTTTTTTTGAGTTGGAGTCTCACTCCGTCACCCAGACTGGAGTGCAGTAGCACGCTCCCAGCCACCGCAGCCTCCACCTGCTGGGCTCCGGCGATCCTTCCACCTCAGCCTTCCAAGTAGCATGCCCAGCTAATTTTTGATTTATTGTTGAGATGAAGTCTCGCCAAGTTGCCCGGGCGGGTCTCGAACCCGCAGGTTGAGGCAATGCACTTACCTCAGCCTCCAGCTGGAATTACAGGCTGAGCCACCGAGCCCGGCCTGGAGTGGCTTATTCTTGTTTCTGGTGCCCATCCTACCCAGGATGCAGTCCTGCTGTTGTGTAGTTGATTGTAGCATTAATTTTGATTCCCTTAAAAAGAGATTTTTTGTTTTGTTTTTAACAAATTTTACTGGTTGCTAAAGACAAAAATGTCCCTCAGTTGTATATTGTCATGTACAGAAGCAGTATACTGGGAGTCGGGAGACTTGCGTTCTAAGTAGCACTATCACACATTTAGTCCTGTGACAGCAGGACAGGCACCGAGCTGCTTCCAGCTCTAGTTCCTTCAGCCCCAAAGGGAGAAGCGTAGAGACTAGATGATCTCTGAGGTCTATCCCAGCACTAGATTTCATTGGTTTCATTAAAAAAGCTATTGAGCCCTCTCCGGTGGATAGGGATCAGCCTCTTTTGAACCTTTAAGTGTCTACTTCCGTGGCTTCATCAACGGAAGGAATTATTTCAAAGGCTTTTGTTTTAAGTCTCAGGAGTCCATAAAGGATCTCATGCATGTGATGAAATTCTTCAACTTGTTTCAAAAAGAGCATATTTCTTTTAAAGCGTATAAACTATAGAGCACTTATAAGAGAAAGAGTGTGTTTTGGTCAGGCGCGACGACTCAAACCTGTAATCCTAGCACTTTGGGATGCCAAGGTAAGAGGATTGCCTGAGCCTACGGGTTCAAGAACAGCCTGGGCAACTCAGCGAGACCTCATCTCTACAATAAATTTAAAAAATTAGCCAGGCATGGCATTGAGTGGCTGTAGTTCCGGCTACTTGGAAGGCTGAGGCAGAAGGATCGCCAGAGCCCAGCAGGTCGACCCTGGGGTGGCCGTGAGTGTGCCACTGTACTCCAGCCTGGGTGACGGAGTGAGACTCCAACTCAAAAAAAAAAAAAAGTGTGTTTTATGGAATCAGGTGGAAAGTAGAGGATTCCAACGCAGGAAGTTGGGGGAAAGGATAGTGGTTCTGTGGGCTACCTCTTTTCCCTCTACTTTTGTCTATGTACTTACCTTGAGTCAATCTAGAATTTGCCTCTTGAGAATGCAGATTTTCGTGCCCATTAACAGAGGAAGAATAAAGGAGACACTTTACAACTAACATAGTTCTAGAAGGGAATGCACATGTGTGTAGAATAACTGCTTCCTACTCTGGCTTGGGTCAGGAGGGATGACACTCAGCACTTTTGTGACAGCTTTGTGTGTGTGTGTGTGTGTGTGTGTGTGTGTGTGTGTGTGTCAGCCTCCACCTCTTGGGCTCAGGCATTCCTGCCCTGCCTCCCAAGTAGCTGGGACTACAGGTGTGTGCCACCATACCTAGCTAATTTTTATTTTTTTATTTTTATTTTTTTTGTAGAGATGAGGTCTTGCTATGTTGCCTAGGCTAGTCTCAAACTCCTGGGCACAGGCAATCCTCCTGCCTTGGCTTTTTAAAGTGCTGGGATTACAGGCATGAACCACTGCACCCAGCCTGTGATAGCTTGTTATGGAATAATATGATACTGCTCCGGATGTAGCCATTTTTGCTTCCACATATCATTTCATTACCAGTGGCTGAGAGCACAGCCCTGTCAGGGATAGTAACAGCTGCTTTAATGCTCATTTTAGTTACATCACAGGTGGTCAAGATTTGTACCATTTGCCATGGCTGAACTTAACCCTATTTTTTAAAACAGTAAGTGGAGCAATGGATTTTGTGAATGATGTGTGGTGTGGAGAAAAATTTCTGGAGTTTCTTGTCTATATTATGGGAATGTCACACAACAACGGATGAGACATTGTAAAGGGTGTGTTGTCATTTGCTCTTTCAGGCAGTAGCAATGTCTAGGGAAGAGCTATGGGCAAAGTGAAAAAGACAAATTAAATGTTCCTATTCTAGAAGAGCTTGATCTCAAGGTGAGAATCAAGTAGAGCATATACATCCAAAACGGTTCATGGGCCCTTAAAAAGTAGGAGACAGCTGACATATTAGATGCTGTTGTGACTAACAAAATGTAAGTCTGTATAAAGCATTACAGTGACATTGTATCTTATGTGAGGTCAGGTTCAAAAGTCAGGGCTTAAGATAAAAATCAGGGTAGGCAGCGGGCTCGGTGGCTTAGCCTGTGATCCCGTACTTTGGGAGGCTGAGGTGAATGGATTGCCTGAGCCCGCGGGTTCGAGACCCACCTGGGCAACTTGGCGAGACCTCATCTCTACAATAAATCAAAAATTAGCCGGGCATGGTGGCGTGTGCCTGTAGTTCCAGCTACTTGGAAGGCTGAGGCGGAAGGATAGCTAGAGCCCAACAGGTCAAGGCTGTAGTGGCCGGGAGCGGCCACTGCACTCCAGTCTGGGTGACAGAGTGAGACTCCAACTCAAAAAAAAAAAAAATCAGGGTAGGCAAATCATGCAAGAATATCTCAGGACAGCACATTGAATATCCACATGCCATCTCTCCATAAGCCCAGCTCATCATCTTGCCCTCTAGCAGTGGAGTGGATTGCTCTTCCTTTCGTTGATGGAGGGGCTGGCTTATGTTTAGGAGTCACATTGAATGGGAAATGCATAGGCTTAAAAAACCATATCCTCATGCTACAAGATGGATGAACCTTGAAGGCTTTATGCTGGGTGAAATAAATCAGACACAAAGGACAAATATTGTATGACTACACTTATATTGTGTACCTGGAGTAGTCAGGTTCATAGAATGGGGAGTTGGTGATTGATGGTACAGAATTTCACCTGAGGTGATGAAAAAGTTCTCATGAATGGTTAGTGGTGGCAGTTGCACAATAGCATGAATTTACTTATTTCCACTGAACTGTATACTTAAAATGGTAAATTTTATGTGATGTATAGTTTGCCATAATTAAAAAAAAAAAATTGAAGACTATATCCCAGACTGTGAAGGTAGTTTTAAATGATGACTTCAACAGATATCGTATTGTGGTAATGAGTAGATTATGTAAAAAGTTTCCAGAGAGAACATTCATTTGAATGTATACATTTTTTAAATCAAGCTTCTCCTAAATGGGGTTGATTTTTGCTTGTTAGATATGAAGGGATGATCTGCTTCCTCATTTCTTTTTTTTTTGAGTTGGAGTCTCACTCTGTCGCTCAGACTGAAGTGCAGTGGCCGCTCCCGGCCACCACAGCCTCGACCTGTGTGATCCTTCCGCCTCAGCCTTCCAAGTAGCTGGAATTACAGGCGCGCTACCACGCCCAGCTACTTTTTTGATTTATTGTAGAGATGAGGTCTCACCAAGTTGCCCAGGCAGGTCTCGAACCGCGGGCTCAGGCAGTCCTCTCACCTCAGCCTCCCAAGGTGCTTCCTCATTTCATAGCAAGAACGGAGGTCAGTTCCCAAAGAGATGTAGTAAGCTATCCAGGCTTACATGTGAATCAGGCTCAAGCTGGCACCAGAGCCTGACTCCCGACTACCCAGGGCTTTCTTATGCAGATGGTTCCCAAGTGACAGCATTCTGGTATCCCCTTCATAGTTTTTTGCCATAGCCAGGCATTTTAACAGTTACCAAACCATTTTCTTTGTACCAACTTATTTCATGTAAAATACATTTATTGAATACATAAAGTTATTTTAAAAGGAAACTTGGCATCATTTTTTTATTTTTTAAATTTATTTTTTGAGTCTGGGTCTCACTCTGTCCCCAGGCTGGAGTGCACAGTTCACCGCAGCCTCGTCCTCCTGGGCTCAAGCGATCCTCTTGCCTCAGCCTCCCAAGTAGCTGGGACTACAGACATACACTATCACACCCGGCTAATATTTCTATTTTTTGTAGAGATGAGATTTTGCTATGTTGCAAGGCTGGTCTTGAACTCCTAGACTGATAGCATGTTTTAACTGGAAAATCTGTAGGATAATTTATTTAAATAATCAGAAAATATGTGAAGACAAAATAATACTTTAGTTAGGTGTTATTGTTTTGAGGGTGAAGCCCATCCTATTTTTGTTGAGAGGGAAGATTAGACATTTTTAGGTATTAAAGACAGAGTACCACCAAAGTGGTGCAGTGGGAAGGGCTGGGAGGGAACTGAAAGGAGAATGACATTCTTACTGCCAGTCATAACCAGTGCCTCCCCCCACCCCCCAGAAACCAGTATCATACCATGCAGCCTCACAGCGAGCAAAGTAGGTGGATTTTGAATTTGTTTTGCATAAAAGTAAGGAATGCAAGTTAATATAGACGTGATTAGCTGTGGGGGCAGAGATCTCAGAGAGCCAGTATTAGAAACATTCTTATTGGCGAAAGGGTGCCTGGTCCTGTAGTTAGGATGGAGGAAGAGAATAATGTTGAAATGATTCACTTAGACCTGTAGTGTTTCTTAGTAGGGATGATATTGAATTTTGGGACCAAGTAATTATGCAGGACTGTCCCAAGCATGGGTATTCTTGATTCCTGGGCATGAAATGCCAGTAATAATGCCCCTCCCCCTTCCCTTGTGATAATTCCCAAAACATTTTTAAATGCTTTTTAGGGATTATTAAGTACTGCTGCCCCTCCAGAGGAGGAATGGGTAGTTTATTCTAAGCAGAGGGAATGGCCTTCACAAATGCATGGAAACAGTAATGAGCATTTGAACCTTATCTTTTCTAGAAGAGAAGAAGAAGTTGATCCGAGATTTTGATGAAAAGCAACAGGAAGCAAATGAAACGGTGAGAACTGGGACCAAGTCCTTGTTTCTTCTCCCTGGTGTTGGTCTTTCCCAGAAGTAATGCTGTGATCTGATCACAGATGAACTGCTTCTATTGATCTTGATTTTGACTACTTCTTACATAATGAGGTTAGTTCTGGCGATGAGTGTTGAGGGAGTTTGACAAACACAGTGGGCAAAGCTTGAAGACTCTCTTGAAACATGAGCCTTTGATTTTTTTTTTTTTTGAGCCGGAATCTCACTCTGTCACCCAGGCTGGAGTGCAGTAGCATGTCCACAGCCAGCACAGCATCAACCTGCTGGGCTCAGGTGATCCTTTTGCCTCAACCTTCTAAGTAGCTGGAACCACAGGTGCATGCCACCATGCCCAGCTAATTTTTTGATTTATTGTAGTGACGAGGTCTTCACCATGTTGTCCAGGCTGGTCTTGAACCCCTGGATTCAGGCAGTCCTCTTTCCTCCACTTCCCAAAGTGCTGAGATTACAGGCGTGAGCCACCATGCCTGGCCTGATAATACATTCTTGATGTGAGCAGTAGGGGCATTTTCATACCTTTACCCAAGAGATTTTTTAAAACCTCTAAGAATGTGAGAGGATTGCCTGAGTCCAGGGATTCAAGACCAACCTGGGCACTTGGTAAGACCTCGTCTCTGTAATAAATACAAAAAAAATTAGCCAGACATGGTGACGTGCACCTGTAGTTCCAGCTATTTGGAAGGCTGAGGTGGAAGGATCACCTGAGCCCAACAGGTCGAGGCTGTGGTGGCCAAGAGCGTGCCACTACACTCCAGCGTAGGTGACAGAATGAGACTCCAACTCAAAAATAAATAAATAAATAAATAAAACCTCTAAGAGTTGGTCATTAAGATAGGTTACTGTTCTTTGCTAAACTTACAGAAAATGTAGCTCAGAGGTGATTCTAGCCATGTTCCTGTCTTTTTTTTTTGAGTCAGGGGTCTCACTCTGTGGCCCAGGCTGGAGTGCATTGGCAGGATCACAGCTCACCACAGCCACAGCCTCCTAGGCTCAGGCAATCCTTCCACCTTAGTCTCCTAAGTAGCTGGGACTACAGGCATGCACCACCACACCCAACTAGTGTAAAAAATTTTTGTTGTTGTTGCTCAGGCTGGTCTCAAACTTCTGGGCTCAAGCAGTCAGTCCTCTTGCCTTGGCCTCCCAAGGTGCTGGGATTACAGGGCATGAGCCACCATGCCCAGCCTCTTTTCTGTCTTTTTTTTTTTTTAACAGCCATTAATGTGACCTTTACAGAGGTGGCCTTAATGACTCCTTTCTGTCTTAAAAGACAGCTTACTAACTGGACATGGTGCCTTAGGCAAGACATGCATGAACCACGAGTTATCAGGCAAGACCCTAAGCTTTGTCAGAAGTTGGTTCAGGGCTGAGCCAGGTGGCTCATGCTTATAATTCCAGCACTTTTGAAAGCCAAGGCAGGAGGATTACTTGAGGCCAGGAGTTTGAGACCAGCTTAGGTAATATAGCGAGATTCCACTTCTACAAAAAAAAAGTTTAATAAACTGGGTGTGGTGGCACCTGTAGTCCTGGTCCTTGAGAGGCTGAGGTGGGAAGATTGCTTGGGCACAGGAGTTCGAGGGTACAGTGAACTGTTTGTGTCACCGTGCTCCAACTTGGGAAGCAGAGCAAGACCCTGTCTCAAAAAGTAGTAGGTTCAGTTTGCTGAACAGTTTAATAATTGCTTCTTTCTTGTGACTTTTTTTTTTCCTCTAACCCCTTGGAAGCAAGAGTCCTAACTCTATCTTATTTTGCTTTAACTTCAGCAGACCCACTAAGATTGAAGCTAAAATCCTGGTCTCTAGTAATACTCTGGAAATAAATGCCCCTATTTTCTGCAGCCTCAGAGCAGATTGAAAGAAAAATTCTCTTTAGGCCAGAGAAGTCTCTTCTTCATTGTTGAAGATCAGTTTCTCAAGTTTCCAATTATCCTGATGAAGGTCTGAGAAGGAAGCTTATCTGCATCTTTTTCTCAGTTCTGCATCTGTTTCAAGAAGGACCAGGCTACCAGCCTGGAAACTATCTTCTTCATAATGAGAGTACTAGAAACCTAATACTTGAGTACAGTTGGGCTTATCCATGATACCTATCTCTCCTCTTTCAGTTAATATCTCGGTAGTATTTTTTAAATCATATAACTACTACAGATTTGTTTGGTGCTCAGATACTTTCTTTCTCTGGACTTAGCAAAATTAACAGTCCTACTCTGGCCATCCCAGGCAGAGGAAGATAATTTTGGGCCACTTGTGAACATGTCCAGGTGCTACATTTTACTTACCCAGAAAAATGGAAGTCTGATTTCCCAAAGCAACCTGCTCTGTGGGCCCCAGGTTATCTCCTGACTTGGAAAGGAGCATAAATGATTTTCAGAAAGAGGAAGAGGAGGAAGGGAAGAACCTTAATGCCAGATCCCTATAATTTTTAGTACAGTAAACTTCAAAGCACTCTTGACTGCAATGTTGACCCATACCAGGCCCAAAATTTGGTTTATTGGAAAGAACTGAGAAGTTGAAGATTTTGAATCCCAACTTCATATGTAATCTTGAGCAGGTTTCTTTAGATCTCATATATGAAATGGAAAAAGTATTTCCTATCATATTGATCTGTTGTGAGGATTAAGTGACAAAATATATGAAAATGTCTAATAAGCTATAAGGTGCTTCTGTTAGTTTTCCCATTCATTCATTCATTGTATACTTTTTTTTTTTTTTTTTTTAGTTGGAGTCTCACTCTGTCACCCAGGCTGGAGTACAGTGGCATGCTCATGGTCACTGCAGCCTTGACCTGTGGGACTCAGATGATCCTTCCGTCTCCGCCTTCCAAGTTTTTTGATTTATTATAGAGATGATTGGGCCAAGTTGCCCAGGCTGGTCTCAAACCTGCAGGCTCAGGCATTCCTCTCACCTTGGCCTCCCAGAGTGCTGGGATTATAGGCATGAGTCACTGCGCCCGGCCATTGCATACTTTTTGAGTGCTTGCTCTGTGTTTGCCAGGCACTCAGAATGAGGTGAACATGCCATATGTGGTCCTTGCCTCATGGAACATACAGTTGAGTTATTTATTTAGGATAATCTGTGGTTTGATTAGTCCAAACTAGGCATGTCCCTAGATGAGAGAGGAAAGAGCCAGCCCATCTACTCACTACTGTCTGCCTTTCCAGCTGGCAGAGATGGAAGAGGAACTACGTTATGCACCCCTCTCTTTCCGTAACCCCATGATGTCTAAACTTCGAAACTACCGGAAGGACCTTGCCAGACTCCATCGGGAGGTGAGAAGCACACCTTTGACAGCCACACCTGGGGGCCGAGGAGACATGAAATATGGCTCGTATGCTGTAGAGAATGAGCATATGGTAAGCTTTAGCTATTTGTTTTGTTTTTCCTTAAGGTCCTGTGGTACCAAAATGAACCATATTGTTGGAGTATAGTTCTTGTTCTTAGTGTATACCAGATTTGTTTTGCTGTCCCCCTTGTTTTCCACATCCAATTCCCCTTCTCTCCTTGATACCCGCTCTATTTAATGCTAGTCTTTCTAACCATATGCATATTTATGTTTCTTTTTATCAGATACGTACATATATGTAATAGTGCTTTTTGTATGGTGGTATATGTGTTACCTAGTCTTATTTTATCTGGATTCTATTTTCTGACACATTGATCTAATTTGTTTTCTTCTTGAGTTTGTATTATTTCATATAACTTTTGGAATTGCTTACTCAAGTATGCCTTAAAATTTCAGTTAGGTTTTTAATTTATTCAGAGTATTGTTACAAAAGTAATCCAAGCTTTCCTTTACCTTAATATCAAGATGGCCCAATAATTGATATGCAGGATACTTCTCAGGAAGGAGCTTTTTATCATTTTATTCTGTTGTTATGGAAAGTGAGCCAGATTCCCTCTCTAACCCTCAGGATTCTGATTTACAAATGGGACTAATTGAAAATCTGCATTCTGAGCCGGGCTCGGTGGCTCAGCCTGTAATCCCGCGCCTTTGGGAGGCTGAGGTGAGTGGATTGCCTGAGCCCGTGGGTTCGAGACCCGCCTGGGCTGCGAGACCTCATCTCTACAATAAATAAAAAAATCAGCCGGGTGTGGTAGCACATGCCTGTAATTCCGGCTACTCGGAAGGCTGAGGCGGAAGGATCGCCAGAGCCCAGCAGGTCGAGGCTGTGGTGGCCGGGAGTGGCCACTGCACTCCAGTCTGGGTGACAGAGTGAGACTCCCACTCAAAAAAAAAAAAAACACGAAAATCTGCATTCTGAAGTGATCTAGAGAAGCCAGATGGTTAAAGGAATAAAATAATACTTCTCAAATATTAAGTTTAACATGCTGCCTTGGATTGTATTCCACAAATATCGTACAGAGTAGAAATGCCTGGCAGATAGCATAGAAGAGAAGTAAAAAGAGACCCACCAAGGTAGACTGAACATGGGTAGGAAGGCTAGTAATCCAGTTTTAAACAAACAAATCCTTTTTCATGATGCATCCTGCTCATAGTTTAAGAGACATTAGAATGATATTGGCTTGACAATGCTGATGTAAAAACTGGACATTTTGAGAATGTTGTAAAATTCTGAAATGGATGCATGGAAGACTGTCACAGGTCAGAAGCTGACGTCAGATCACACAAAAAGGGAGGCTGGAAAAAGGCAGGCAGACAGACAGGCAGAGCTTGTTAAAGTGGGAGTCTACAAGTGACTTTAGCCATGTGTTTCCAAAAGGGGGGTGAGTCCAAACAATAATTTAACTTTAAAGTTATTAGTGTCAGAAAATAATAGAAGGTCATTTAATTGCACATACCCTTTCAGTGGGATTATAGTTCTAGGTCTGTCTGAGGTTGATTTATGTGATCTTCTTGTCTTCTCTTGCTCTTTCTTTAGCTTAATCCATTGAAAATCTGCATCTTTTCTTTAAAAAAAAAAACAACTTATTTTCCTTCTTCCTCTGAGCTCACCTGATGTCTGGGTTCACTGGTTGTGTGCAACTGATTAAGTGAAGGTCCTTCTTAATGGTGTCCTACCACTTGTGTTCACTTGCTCTGTAACAGGTCTACGTGAGCAGGGCCCCTTTGATTGTGTGTGTGCTTTGAATTACTAAGAACTTAGAGCTGCTCTTATTTCTGTCTGTTAGTTCTGGCCTGACAAAGGCTACTTTTGTCCTCATGCTGTCTGTGTGTAGGATTACAGGTGGAGTGACACTTTGGTGGGGATTTAGAAAATTAGGGCACTTAGGAAATCAGGGCAACTAGGAGCTTACATGAGCCCCAGATACTACCTTCCCTGATTGCAGATCACATTGTGGCAACTTGGAAGTTTTTGTTTTTTTGTATGTGTTTGGCCTGAGGTGAAATTCTTTTCTGGGGCTCTCCAAGAGTATGGCCATGTAAGCTTTTTCCAGAATGCAGTAGTGTCTCAGACTTGTAAATGATTTCTTTATGTGCTGAACAAGAATAGCTTATTCATCTACAGCAATACCACCCTGAATGCGCCCATCTCATCTGATCTCAGAAGCTAAGCAAGGTCAGGCCTGGCTAGTACTTGAGTGGAAGACTGCCTGGGAATACCAGGTGCTGTAGGCTCGGGGTAAAAACAATAGCCCCTCAGTGCTCAATACCAGTCAAGTGGGACTTTTCAGTGAATTAATCTTTTTCTAGGGCTACAGTGTAGTTGGCTTGCTAATAGCACTGTCAAAGTTACAGGCTGTATTATATGCACTGTCAGGTACCCTGCACTTCCCAAATCTGGGCTGCTGCCTTTCAGAAGTTGCTAGTTCAGGAGGCACATGGAACAGTGCAGATTTATCACAACCACGGGGAAAATGCTCGTGTTTTTAATCCTTCTTTCCTTGCTTTTCCTAAATGTAAAAAACAATGAAATGGAGGTATTATGTTCCTGTTGATTGGACTCCCGGTTCTGCTTTTTAGTCTGTGACGTTGAAAAGGATCTTGTAGCTTATTAGCGTCTTTGGTTCTGTCTTATAAGTAATGACAAGTATTGTCACCATATCCCCTCTTAGATGAGGAAGGTCATAAGGAACTTGCTGCAGTGATTTATAATGGAAGAAGTCTAACATTCCCTTCCATGCCCCTGTCAGAATCGTCTGCAGTCTCAAAGGGCGCTGCTTCTGCAAGGCACCGAAAGCCTGAACCGAGCCACCCAAAGTATTGAGCGCTCTCATCGGATTGCCACAGAGACTGACCAGATTGGCTCAGAAATCATAGAAGAGCTGGGAGAACAGCGAGACCAGTTGGAACGTACCAAGAGTAGAGTAAGTCTGCGCAGCTAGGGAAAGGGCAAACATAGGGAGAGAGGGTACTACACCTACATGTCATGTGAGGCCAGAGCCATAGCAATTCTGAGGTCAGGGAAGAACCCTTTTTGGGTTCTTATGTTTTTCTCTATTTTTGGTTTGCTTGGCTGAGAAGAGTAATTTTATCCTTAGGATTTAGACATCATTGGAAATTTTTGTTTTAGTGAAGAAAAAAAAGGCCAGGTTCAGTGGCTCAGCCTGTAATCCCAGCACTGTGGGAGGGTGAGGTGAGTGGGTTCAAGACCTCGTCTCTACGATAAATAAAAAAAATTAGCTAGGCGTGGTAGCATGCACCTGCAGTTCCAGCTGCTTGGAAGGCTGAGGCAGAAGGAGCGCCGGAGCCCAGCAGGTCGACACTGGGGTGGCCATGAGTGTGCCACTGCACTCCAGTCTGGGCAACGGAGTGAGACTCCAACTCAAAAAGGAAAAGACTGAGATGAGGTTGCAGCCACTTCATCCTTATTAATTCCCATGTTCTCTGTCTTTGGCAAGAGAATAATGTGTCGAAAAGGCACCTAAGGATTCAAAACCACCAGTCTGAGATTTTCTCATATATCTAATGGAATATTCTTCTACTCTTATGAAAATATCATCTGCTTACTTACACTCTATCATTTAGAGCCACGGCTATTTTTCACATGTCATAAAATAGTACCACTGACAGTTTATAGATTTATAAATTATAGTTCAGTGCTGAACTGTAACTCTTTACTCGTGTTACCTAGAGTGGTAAGTTGGATTATTATAGGAAAAAACACATCTACTTAAGCCAAATGATGACTGTGTTGGGGACCTCTAATCTACTATCACTCTGAGAGACTCTGAAAAGTAGCTCATTTATTTATCCCTTTCCATAAATGAGTTATTCTACATAGGAATTTTAAAAATAGTACAATTTGTGGGTTTTGGGTGTTATTTGTGAGTCAGAGCCTCATTCTGTCACCCAGGCTGGAGTGCAGTGGCACAGTCACAGCCACTGCAGCCTTGACCTGCTGGGCTCAGGTGATCCTTCTGCCTTAGCTTTTCAAGTAGCTGGAACCACAGGCGCATGCCACCATGCCCAACTAATTTTTTTTTTAATTGTAGAGATGAGGTCTCACCAAGTTGCCCCGGCTGGTCTTGAACCCCTAAGCTCAGGCAGTCCTCTCACCTTGTCCTCCCAAAGTGCTAGGATTATAGGCATGAGCTACCACACTCAGCAATTTGTATATTTTTAATAGCATGAGACAAATCAAAGTGAAAAACATAGCCAAGATTTGAATGGGTATCTGTGCAGTGGCTCAAGCCTGTAACGCAGCACTTTGGGAGGCTGAGGTGAGAGGATTGCCTGAGTCCACAGTTCAAGACCAGCCTGGGCAATATGGTGAGACCTCGTCTCTACAATAAATAAATTTTAAAAAATTAGGTGTGTTAGCGCACGCCTGTAGTTCCAGCTGCTTGGAGGGCTAAAGCGGAAGAATCGCAGGAGCCCAGCAGGTCGACGCTGGAGTGGCCGTGAGCATGCCACTGCACTCCAGCCTGGATGACAGAGTGAGATACCAACTCAGAAAAAAGAAAATACTAGTTCAGTGTGGGAATTTGAAAGATGTTCTTATACCTCTTATAGCTACAGATCTCCTCTAAGTCAGAGTGATGCCCTTCCCTCTTTAGTGAAAATTCAAAATAAAATACTAAATTCAAGGCAAGTTATGGAGAGTGCAATTTGCTTACATGTAGGTTTTGGTTTCTGAACATACCAGGTGTACTGGTTGAATTTAAAAGCCAAGGAATGAGCTGAGAGATCAATTTACCAAAGCCACTAGGAAATGGAAACAGTTGGCAGGTGGCCATCTGCTGGAGATGGAATATCCCTCAGCTATATGGGTTAGTAGCTGGCAGTTGAAAAGGAGAGGGCCAGCCGGGCTTGGTGGCTCAGCCTGTAATCCCGCGCCTTTGGGAGGCTGAGGTGAGTGAATTGCCTGAGCCCGCGGGTTCAAGACCCGCCTGGGCAGCGAGACCTCATCTCTACAATAAATCAAAAAATCAGCCGGGCGTGGTAGCACATGCCTGTAATTCCGGCTACTCGGAAGGCTGAGGTGGAAGGATCACTGGAGCCCAGCAGGTCGAGGCTGCGGTGGCCGGGAGCAGCCACTGCACTCCAGTCTGGGCGTCCGAGTGAGACTACAACTCAAAAAAAAAAAGAAAAAGAAAAAGAAAAGGAGAGGGCCATGGAGATTAACTGCCTTCACAGTTCAACATAGTTGTCATTTTTTTTTTTTTTTTTTTTTTTTTGAGGCAGAGTCTCTCTCTGTCGCCCAGGCTGGATTGCAATGGCACCATCATGGCTCACCACAGTCTTAACCTCCTGGACTCTGGTGATTCTTCTGCCTCAGCCTCCTGAGTAACTGGGACTACAGGGGCATGCCACCAAACCTGGCTAATTTTTGTTTTTTTTAGAGATAAGATCTTGCTATGTTGCCTAGGCTGGTTTTATCTATTTATAAACGTATGTGTTTACTTATTGAGTTGGGCAATGTAACTGTCTCTTAAAGGGGTAAAGAAAAAAGATAACCAGATCCCAAAAGTAGTCACCCACCAGCCCACAAAAACACCAACTCAAGAGGCTTTCCTGGAATTTGGCTGATGAAATTCAAACCTTAAGTTTCTCAAAGTTGCTTTATAGTAACTGACTAGACACATTTGGAGCATTCCTGTTGGGAGTAGCCAAGGTGAAAGATTAGCTCAGTCTCAGAAGTCTGTCTCCAACAGCAACCTTGGGATATATAATGATTCCTAAACCTACTTGATGAGTACTAAAATATTGTGTCCTTTCCAGGTTCTTCTGCTTATACCCAGAGGCCATCCTATACATTGGTTTGATTTTTTTTTTTTTGAGTTTTTCAATATACACTCCTTAATACCCACTGATAGTTTAGTAATATTCAAATTGTATAGTGTGTACTTTAGAAAGAAGGAGAAAATAATTGCTGTTTTCTCTTCTCAGCTGGTAAATACAAGTGAAAACTTGAGCAAAAGTCGAAAGATTCTCCGTTCAATGTCCAGAAAGTAAGTTTTTAAAAGTCACAAAACTAATTTCTATTAATATCTTTCCATCAGAAAAGCTTAAAATAGTGACTTATTTTATTTATATATATATATATTTTTACATATTTATATATTTATGTACACACACACACACACATACATATAGTCCCCCTGTACTACCAACTGGGTCGGAAGAAATGAAGAAATAAGGTCTTGTACACTAAATATTACAGGATAAAATCCTCTTAGAAGTGTATACTGCTTTGACTTGGAGCAGTGGAAAATTTCTCCACTGAAAGGACATTTAATCCCAGTTTACATCCTTTAGAGAAGACAGCATGTTGGGGATACCAGAGCTTCCTTCCTTGAAATATTTGTGTTGAAACTTGGTTAGAAAACAGTTTTCACTGCTACTGCCTAACACTTGCTTTTGGCTCTGTTTGTCCTTACGGGAGTCATCTCTTTTTCTGGAAGTTCTGTCTTGTTAGCAAGAAGTAGACTTAAAAAAAACAAAACCTTTAGGAGTTGTCATGATTGGTGGGCAGTGACCAAACCAAGTACAGGCTCTGAATCTGCTGGCTCTTTGACTGCCTGGAGTCAGCACTGCTTTGCACAGGCATTTTAAAAGTAAACTCCAAGCCGGGCTTGGTGGCTCAGCCTGTAATCCCGCGCCTTTGGGAGGCTGAGGTGAGTGGATTGCCTGAACCCGTGGGTTCGAGACCCGCCTGGGCAGCGAGACCTCATCTCTACAATAAATCAAAAAATCATCCAGGCATGGTAGCTCATGCCTGTAATTCCGGCTACTCAGAAGGTTGAGGAGGAAGGATCGCCAGAGCCCAGCAGGTTGAGGCTGCGGTGGCCGGAAACGGCCACTGCACTCCAGTCTGGGCAACCGAGTGAGACTCCAACTCAAAAAAATAAAAATAAAAGTAAACTCCAGAGACACTAAAGCTGTTTCAGGAAGATAATAGAATTCCAGGGCACCTGAAGGTAGCCCACTGATGCCCCCGTGTAGTGCCACCATGGTTCTTACAGCTCATGAAGCTGCACGTGCCCTGTGTCTGCTGGCTGTAGCCTCAGTCATCATAGCAGTCACTTGATTCAGTTTCATTTAGCTCTCTCTGTGGGCTAGTAATTGGATTAATAACTGAGCCCTTCTTTGGGGATCATAGGTATTGACTTATACTGTCACCAGTAAAGCAGTCTTTACCAAAAATAACAAAAAACAGAACCCTTGATATGAGTGCTGACAGCAGCAGATTCAGAGCAGAAGGGAAGTGCTGCCTCTGAAGGTGAAGTTGGGAGTGGGTGAGTGGTGTCCATGACCTTGGGCACAGGTGACTTAGCATGAAACAAAACTACAGTCCAGCTGGGCTCGGTGGCTCAGCCTGTAATCCCGTGGCTTTGGGAGGCTGAGGTGAGTGGATTGCCTGAGCCTGCGGGTTCGAGACCCGCCTGGGCAGCGAGACCTCATCTCTACAATAAATCAAAAAATCAGCCAGGCGTGGTAGCACATGCCTGTAATTCTGGCTACTTGGAAGGCTGAGGTGGAAGGATCACCAGAGCCCAGCAGGTCGAGGCTGCGGTGGCCGGGAGCGGCCACTGCACTCCAGTCTGGGCGACAGAGTGAGACTCCAACTCAAAAAAAACAAACAAAACAAAACTACAGTCCATACTGGAACTTGTAGGAAGGGTGGCAGAATAGGAAGAAACCTAGAGTGAACATGAGAACCTGGGGTTGAATTATTTTGTAAACAAAAGATAATAAATGTTTTGAAGTTCCTAGACCGCCTTTCTAGTAGAACTACCCATCTGGGTTTATAGGAGAGCAAAGGGAGATATAGGGAAGGGAGAATAAGAAGGGCAGAGGTTCACAAGGGATTAGAAGGCATTACCCAAGCTTCTAGGTACTTATCCGAAAGCAGGACCCATCCATGAGCTGGACTTTAATACCAGAGAGTCTTTTCAAAACCGTTTGCCTAATGTACAGCTGTAGTGTGTAACTAGTGTGGCTCTATGTGGTTAGATAATGGTATTATATATTTCTGCTGTTCTGACATAAAATTCACCCTCATTTCATAAAGGTATACTTTTTCAATATGTACATTTAATATATTTTAATTAACCTCTCCTTCTAGAAAAGCTATTTTAAAGTAAAGAAGTAACTATTATTTGAAGACATTTTAGAATGAAGAAACCATTTTTATGCTGTGGTTTTTATTGTCCTGATTTTCAACATTTCTGTGAGGTAGACAGGAATAGTTACAGCTAAAGAACCCTACAAGTTGTCGTTTACTAGCTAAAGAACCTTATGTGTATACACCTACTGCTAATTGGCTGTGTGGTCAAAAACTCAGTCTGCCTCAGGGTATCCAGCCTTGGTCCCAGGTCAGACCCCAAAGTATTAATAGAAATAAGGTTATCCAAACTTCTGACTACTCCCAACTTGCTTCTCTTTGTAGAGTGACAACCAACAAGCTGCTACTTTCCATCGTCATCTTGCTGGAGCTAGCCATCCTGGGAGGCCTGGTTTACTACAAATTCTTTCACAAGCATTGACTTCCCGCAGGGAAGGGTTTGTGGACCAGCACTTTGACCCTGTGAATGCATAGTGTTAAGGATGTGGATGGAAGAAGCCTGTTGCTGCTGTGGACTGACAGTGCCAGAATGGACTGTGTAACCAGACTGTGGGAGGAGGGAGGAAAGGTGGAAAGCTATTTAAATGTGAAGGAACAGCAACAAGACCAATGTGATATACCAAGGTAATAAATGCTGTTTATGACTTCTTGAAATTTACATAGTACAACATATATTAATACCCAGTAAACTTGCAAAAACCCAGATACATTTACAGTAGTGTTATTGGTCACCAAAATAGAGAGGAGAACCTTTACAGTTGTGAGAATGCTCAGTTGTTCTCATTAAGGCAGTGTTGACCCAGACAGCCGTTTAGTCCCCTCAAATGTCTCGCGGCTCTGGAATGCCCAATGTGAACCACGTTAGTGCACAGTGTTTCCTAAATTCTCACGCGGGCTTCATTTTCTGATTCATCTGGTGAACTGGGAGTAGGAAGGTGATCATAGACAACATGTCCTCCTTCCCTTGTCTGACCAAAACTTGAAGCAATCACATCCACTGCCAGGTTGGCTGTAGCCTTCGCCTCTTCCTGTGAAGTGGCCAGCTGAGGGTTGACTTCAACAAGATCCAGTGCCGACAGCAGCCCTGGAAGATCGAAGTATGACAAAACTCCCCAGCTGCACTCTCAGTGAGGACCCCTCCTCCTTCTTGGCCAGGGAGGACAGGCCAAGAGAAAAACTAGAGTCCTTTTTTGCTATGAAATACCTATGGCAGGAAGCCCCCTGGCCTCATCCTCTTGGCCATGAATTTGAGTTAAAACATTGGTAGACTAGAAGAGAATTGAAATAAACCTTTCAAGGAATGAAATATATCATCCGTGTTCAATTAATATAGTAGGCATAATTGTTAGGCTTCCTGGAAAATGAAGGGCTTGTTGGAGAGTGGGGGGATTTCCAACCTGCTTGTAGAAAAATTTTATGCCACCTCCAGGATGATAAGAACCTTCCAGACACCTGTCTAGAAATGGGTATTAAGGCAGAGGAACTGATTTGGAAAAGAAAAAAAGAGGAGAGGAAGTCTCCTACTTCTCCCAGCCAGTGCTCCAGCCCCACTTTTGAACTCTTGATGCTGTATGTGCCCTGAAATGTAGTTACTATTGCTACACATCTTATTCTCCCTCCTGCAGGCCTGAGCTCCGACGGTGGTTCCACCTCTGACACTTTTTTTTTAAGTCTCCCCAACAAACTGACCTTGCACTTGGTTAAGGGGAGGGTTCAGCCATACATTGTTTTACTTGTACTCTAGTTATCTTCCATGAGGACTTGTGTCAAAGCTCACAGTACTGTTCCTTGGCTGGAACAGGCTGAGGGAAGGGAAGCTCAGACCAAAAACCTATCCAGACCTTCTCTCCTCTCCCACCCCTTTTTTTTTTTTTT